AGGTGCAGCCCGAGCTGCCTCAGACCCCTACTCTGCATAAAGCCGAAGCAGAGGGGGTTTCTCACATCTTGGTTCTGTACTCCCATGAGTGGAAACCGCCCCTTCAGTAGTTTTAAACACGACCCTAAGTGGAGCCACAGCCGTGTCAGGCAGGGACCAACCCCCCTCCCGTGCCCTTCCAGCTGGTTAAAAACTGACTCTGCTCTTCCCTCTGCACAATTCCAAACGCAGTTTGCTGGGAGAGAACGTTGGCAGAAAGCTTTTACTTTAAAATCTTACCAGAAAGCCTGAACTACAGACGCTGCCAGAATATTTTTTCCCCTTGTTTTCTGTTGTGTTTGGTGTTGTGGGTCCGTGCTGGTGTGTGTTTTTAAACCAAGGGTTTGTGAGTGTGTTAACCAGGCTGATGGAGCTTTCAGAGCAAACGGGATCTGACCTAAACGACTTCTCTTCATAAAAACCTCCAGGCTTTCTGCCCACAAGGTCCTGAAACTCTCTATTCCTGCAGAGCACAAAGGGGAAGTTTTACTGAATTAACATCCAATAGGAAGGTCTCCTGTTTAGTTGTTGTGTTGGGGGGTTTTGTTTCCCCCCAGGGCTGCTGTGTCACAGGGGTTGTACATAAGCAGGTCGGTACTGTGTAGAAGTAGGTAAGTGTTCCTCAAAAGGCTCCTCCAGGCACCAGTGCCTTAACTGGGGGTGCTGGGCCACCCCTGGTGCCTGTCCTTCCCCGTCCACCCCCGCACCACTGGCTGCTCCATTCCTCTCTGCTGTTGCTGAGCTCAGTTTTCCTGTGTGATCAGGTAACTGTCCCTTTGAATCTCCCAGTTCAGCGAGGGCTGTGGTGTCAGATTTAACCATCTTGTGATCTTTTCAAAGGTGTACACCTGCTTTGGTCCCTCTCCTCTTTTGCTCCCTGATCAAAGGCTGTCTTGTTTCTCTCCTCCTGCTCAGCCTTTGTTTTCAGTCCATCAGTTCTTTGCCAGCTTCTTTGAACACCTCTTGTCTTCTTGGCTCCTTTCAGCCCTGCTCTGGCACCACTTGGGCCACTTCTAAAACACTCTTTTCAAGGTGAACCAAGTGACCTTTGATATGCACTGCTCAAAAACATCACTTTCTGTTCTTTCTCCAAACCTTCCTCTCATGCCCAGCCCTAAGATTGCAAGTCCTGTGAAACAGAAATTCCCTCACTGTGTGGAAGGGCTGGTACATAAAGGCTTCTGCAGCTGATTACTATTAAAAATTTATGGATATGATATGTGTTACTTGCCTGTGCTGTCTAGTAACAGATCAGTAATTTTCCAAACTGTTTTAAGAAGGAGTTGGACTTACTGTGATTATAATTGCTCTACTCTTTTTTTAAGCTTTGCCTTGCTCTTCTTTCCATCAACAGACAACAAAGTTCACAAGTGCTTTGGATATACCAGTGGAGTTTGTAGAAAAGAATGTGAAATTGCGGGGCAGGGTACATCATGTAACTGAGAAAGGCCTGGAAGTTGAACACATTCCCATCAGCATTCCTTTCCTTACATCCATACAGAGAAGATGTAAGTAGAAGGGGAGGCTTGGGAGGACGGGGTCAGGAATGGCTCTGCCTCTTGGTCCTTCTGTACAGGGGGGACACTGTGGAGTAAAACACTGCAGGAGACCTGTGAGAAGAGCTTGCCAAGGCAGGATTTGTGTTAATTAGTGTTGTTGTTGTGATCGTTTTCTGGCAGCAGGAGCTGTCACCCAGGCAGCTGGTTTGCTTGTGTCACTCATCTCATTCCTGGCAAAAAGGCTCTGTTGGGATGATGCTTTTATTTACAGAGGAGGATCTGGCAGCCACCTACACAAACCATCCTCGTGGACAGCTTTTCCATGACTGTCCTGTCTGGGAGTCACACCGTGCTGTGCCAACACCTGCAGGAGCTGATGCTCCTTGTCTGCTGTTTCTGCCCCTTCAGATAAAATGGCAGTGACTGGTAATGAAGGCAGTTTTATTTGTATGCAAAATAAAACAAACTAGCTTAAGCCACTTATGCAACATTGCATTATTTTTTTGCTGAAGGAGAGATGAGACCTAATTCTTATTTGTGAATACTTAGTGCTTTGGGGAACTAAAATGGATTTATTATTTTTTTTTAAGTCCATAGGAATGAATTCAGCACCAACAGATGAAGATTCCCTGTCTGCACTCAGTGCCCAAGTTCTCTCTCTCTATCATCAGGGCAATCAAAAGGTCTTCTGCTGGTAAGACTGGCTGGAGTGGAGCTGGCTCCAAGGGGCATGGCCTGGTTACAGCAAGAGTTAAAACCCAACCAAGTGATATGGTTCCAGCTTCTGGGAAGGGAGGATTTGGCACTTGAATGCCTACTATTTGTAAATAAGGTAAATACAGTGACAAAAACTGACTTTCGTCTGCAGTTTTTAACTTAACTGTCATTAAACCAGTCAGTTCCTTCAGTATATTTGAGGAATTTTATTATTTATAGTTTATCTATCTTGATACAAATTTAAGTGTAAGTCTGGTTTCTAGACAGTACTTTTGCAGACTGATTAATGACAGGAGTGTACTCCTCTGTCAGGCAGTGCTACACTATATCTTGTAGGTCTGATTTCCCTGACATTTAGTCCACCTCTCACAAACATCTTGCAGTCATATTGGGTTTTAACAATCAAATGGATTCCTCTTAGCTTTACAATCTTTCTGCCAGAAAGTAGATTTAGCCAGAAGTAAGACTTGCATCTCAGAGGGATTTCACACAGCAAAAAATATAGTGTTCTAAAAGTGAAGTGAATATCATGTTTATTGTGCCTTTTTATAGGGGCGATTTCTCAGCGTGTGCGTGAACGAAGAGCTCCTGAGACAAGGACTTGGCAGAGCAGCACGGATCGAAGGACTCCACCACCATTCCCACCTCTACTGGAAACTTCACAAAAAACTGCTTCAAGCAGAGCTGAAGGCCTTGAGGAAAAATAAAGGAATATGGGAGGAAGCTAGTTACTCTGAAAGAATCAGAGATCGGATAAGCAACAATAAGTTTATGCAGACATTGAAACAATTTGTGCTCTGGCTGAGAAGCTCTATCTAAAGTGAAAAGGGAGACTTGCTTGGAGGAATGGCAGGCACCTGGCTTTCTGTAAAGCAGAAGTTCATGTTAAAAAGCAGTGCCATAATTTGCAGAGTCCCTGTCTTGAGCAGAAAACCCGTCGTTACCTGGTGCCGTACCGCAACCCACCAGGGACTGAAAGGGGCAGGATGCAGCCCACGAGTGAAATGCCCTCCAGCTGAACCTTTCCACCATCATGTCCTGAAGGAGTTGTCGTGTTTCCACCTGCCAAATACCTGCACAGCTGTGTTAGCCAACAGTGAGAGCAACCAACAGTCCCGCGTGGTGAGAGGTGCAGTGTTGGTTCACAATGTACAGCCTTAAATGCTCCTCTCTTAGATGCCAGCCCTACGTAGCCCACATTGGTCAGAAAACCCCATTTCACACCTTTTCAAAGCCTGTGGGATGTGTTTGCACGTGTGCATTTTGCTTGACTTCTGTTCTCACCCTACTTTTTTTGTACAGTTTGTGGGTTTAAAATCTCTCGTCTTGAATAATGGGTTGCATTGTTATTGATGTAACAGGTCGTTTGTGATGGCTGATCTTAAAAAAACTGATAAGGTCACAACAACTTCAGTTTATAGTGGAAAAAAAATCACTGGGTATATCAGAGAACATAAATTATGTCAGTATCCACATTTTTAGAAGACAACATTCACTTCAATAGGAAAAACTTGTTTTTTCTGATGGTTCCAAAAGGGTCTAATATGACATTAAAATTTTAACACAAAATTTGAAAAGGTGGATCATCCTGTGTTAAAAACTGAAAATATTGGTTTTATTTTTTAAACTTTTAAAGTAGACGAGGGTGTCTTTATTTTGTACATTTTCTTCCAATAAAATTTAATTTCTTATGTTCACTGTTACATGTTTTATATACCAACCACTTGACCTTTGTCTAACCTCCCTCAGTCCCAAAATTTGTTTGAAGTTCAGTGTGTCACGGATTTTCTTTCTCTCTGTGTGATTCCTTCCCAAAGAAATGCTGGGGAGAATAGTGTGGTAGAAAAGATTTGAACAAGCATTGCTCCTCTGACAAGTAGTTGCTATGTTGTCATTTTCCCTGCTGACTTCAGGGCAAAATTACGAATCCTCAGATCCTAAAAAAAACTTGACTCTGTATTTCTGTTTTGTAAATGAAGTCACAGGATTTATCACCAAAACCCACTGTACAGTTGAGAGGAAGAGCTGGAGAAACAGCACATTACATGGCCATGGTCTTGCTCCCTCAAGTCTTGTCTCAGCCCTTTTCACCCTTGATGGGTTCAGAAAAGCCCTAGATATTTTCCTGAATGACAGCAAATTGTTGTAACCCTTTCCTTTAGGTTTTGGCTCGTGGGATTATTATTTATATGGATTTATTATTATTATTATTTCAAAGATTTTTCAAAGGTGGCAGTACAGCTGCTCCATCGCTCACTTGGCCTCCTCTTAGTCTGAACTGCATCTTTGAAGCTTCCTTCCCTGGTTTTGAGGTAGCCTAACAAGTAATTGCAGAAGGAGGTGTAGAGAGGGGTGTCTGACAGCTTTGAGTTCAGGCCTCTGATCTCTTTTGCTGCACATGACAAGGAGTTTGTGCAGTGTGCTCTTCCTACAGCTCTTGCTCAGAACATGGGATCAATGCTGTGAGGGACAAAGTCACAGGGGGCCGTGTGGGAGTTGAGATCGCACTGGCAACCGATGTCAGGAGAGTCAACTCCCGTTAATTGTTCGTTAATGCTGTTTTTCCTTATCCGTCCGGGGCTTATCAGTTTTTAAACCGACAACAACAAAGCAGCCTCCCCCCCTACAAGAGCAGGGCTGGGTTCCAAGCTGTGCCTTCCATCTGTGCAAGGCTTTGAGAAGTTGCAGGTCTTGTCCCCGTGGGAGGCCGGTCTGTTGAGAAACCGGTAATGGGGAGCGTTGGGAAGCAGGGGATGCAGTTCTGGGGCGATGAGGAGTTAAGGACAAGACTTAAAACATAAACAACCACTATTTAGCTCTTACGCCTTCGCCCTTTCAGCTCCGTGAGCAGCACAACGTCTCCAAAAGGGCACAGGCCGGGGAAGGGGAGCCCCCCACACGGCCCCTAAGGAAAACACCTTCCGTGCGGCGCTGGGTTTTATGGCCGCCCCGGCATGTGAGGCAAATGGTTGTGATAAACACGGGCAGCGTCCCGCAGGTGCTGGGACCCCCGCTCCCGACGGAGCAGCCCCTTCCCCAGCCCCTTGGAGTGACATCTTCTGATTATGTTTCTGCCAGTTTGTCCTCACCTGTGAACTCAAGGTGAGCAGTAGCCTCTCTGCATATGCTGATGACTGTCCCAGGGAAGGATGGACTTGTCTGTGGTACATCCCTGGCATGATGTGCTTAGCATCCTCATCACTAACTCTGGGAAGGAGTGGCCAAATTTGGGTCTGAAGATAAAGCCAAGTTTCTGGAATGTTTTGTGTCATGTGTTGACTTAAACCAAACCAAACTGTGAATCCAAAAACTACAGAATAGGAAAATACTAATCTCATAACGGTCAGGTATGAAGTTCTGGTTGATTTCCCTGGGCTGCCAAGATATGATGTACAGCTCTGAATTTATCTGCCACCTCTACCACCTAAGGAGATGTCAGCTGGTTTTCCCATCCAGCTATCCTATTTACATCAAGAAGGCAAGATTCTGCCAGATACTCATATGGGCTTTTATTAAAATGTGCATTTCAGAAAAAATAAAAATACCTAGTCATACCCACAATTGGCAGTTGTGTTCATATGCTGCATTTCTGTATTTCTTAACCAAAGTTTATTTTCAGCTTCATATCAATTGACTGATGAAAGATTAATGTTCAAGTAAGCTATGCAGCATAGCTTTCTTTCCTCCCTACAATATTGCAGGCAAATGAGCACTGAAGCAGCATTGCCTGCTTTGAAGTCACATTAATCTTGCTGAAGCTCATCCACTAGCAAGCCATCAAGACCTCTACAAGAAATCACTGTAGGATTTCTACTGCTTAAAGAGAAAAGCCAGAAGAGCTTTAGAATTTGTGGGAGAGAACTTGTCCTCCCACATGGAAAGGCTTGATTAACGTGGTATGATCTGATAACGTATCTTCCTTATGGATATTAGCCTTCCTTTAACATGAAAGGTAAGAACACTTTAGGCCATGTATTTGCAACCATTATCTCAGTTAATTACCCGTCCAAATGGAAACATGTAAAGATAATCCCAATTTTGTAATTAGAGGTATTAATCTGTTCTACTTTTACTGCACAACACACAGGTCCTAGATAACTTTGAACTTTCTTCCTAGGTCTCTGTCACACAATTTAAGAATCTCAATTATTTCCATATCAGATTTGGCACTTCGTGGGAAAGTCTGCTCCTGCAAGTGGCAGGTACTTTCCAACTGGGTGAAGCAAGCAATGATAAATTACAGAGCAACACTACTGCTGATAATTCTAGTGGAGTGAGTAGTGAAGAAAAAATAATCTTTTCATATAAATAAAATCTAGTAGAGCACAGGGAAAAGTGTGCACTTGTCAGACATGCTAATCTCCTTTCCAGATTGATCACAGTGTTCAACACTTGATAGCATCACATGGAACTGAATGTATCTTTACATTCTTCTTCCCAAATCAAAGGTACCTTTATGTTCTTCTTCTTCCATCAGAGATATCTTAAACTTGCTTGTTTGAACCCTTTTTTTATAAGTCTGGAATTCTCTAGTGCCTCATATTCAGATGCCATTAAATAACAGTTATTTTTATTGCATCTAAAAGGTCCTATTAACTGTCAGTATTATTAAGTAAGACATGCTGTGGAATGAATATCATGCTTTACACTCAGTAATGACCTTACTGTCATTTTGATAGCTTGCCATTATCTGCAGAAGTGCTCACTTTATACTGCATTATTCACTAGCTCCTATCAGTGATGATTGATTCAGCATGACAAGATGACAGTCAGTGCTCTGCTCCCTACCAGCCAGCTCTGCCCCTCATGAATCCTGATAACAGCACTGTGAACTGACTCGTGGAAAAGGGTCTTGGGTCCAGCCTGCATTTCTGCAGGCATCTCTAAACTTATCATTTTTATGGAGTTGCTAAGAAGTAATGAATTTCAGATGCAAAGGATATTTTACAGGGCACTGCTGCTAAAGTGTGCCATGAGATGTCTGTGACTCTTCTGAGATTGCCTTCGGGCTCTATCTATAACTCCAGTGTCGAATGTTCTAATGGCATATTAACATTAATGAAAAAATACTGGGAGTTCTGAAGGCAGCCTGAGCACACCAGTAATTGTTTTACTTGTAATTTTGATGAAGTAATGGCTAACTGGGTATTGAAGGAGTGAGTGTCAAGGAGACAGTAAAATTCTCTTTCATAGAGATGGACATGTTTAGCAATTCTCTGCAGCAAAAGAGAGCACATTTTAAAAGCCTTATTATTAGAAAATGATGTAAATACAATTAATAGAGATGTTAAAAGGTATTTGTCACAGAAGGTATTAAAACTCTCATCTGACACTCCAAACTTCAAAGACTGGCCCTGTTGTTTTTTTTTTTCTTAAATTAGATCATGCTGCCATTCAATGCAACAGTGGTGTGCAGGATCTCACAGAGCTTACAGCTCAGTTGTGTTTGCTCATCAGTTTATTCCTTCTCATTTATATTAACTTTCTTCTGATCACGGTGTTTTCAAGATTATTTCAATATTCTATTGACATATCTTTAAAAAATTTAACCCCCCGGGCATCCATCCCCCTGGGCATCCATCCCCCCCCTGGGCATCCATCCCCCCCTGGGCATCCATCCCCCCCTGGGCATCCCCCTGGGCCCTGTGCTGAGGGAGGGGGCAGCTGGGAAGGCCAAGGCTCTTCTGCATTGAGTCCTGCCGAGAACACCTTCTCTGAGGGCTGATAATCTGCTCCTTAAAGGGTTTCTTCAAGGAAAAATAAAGTGCAATGAGGTGGGACTTGTGCTTCATGCACGTTTTATTGTCGTTAAGCAGCTG